ATTAGTATTACTACCTTTATTACTATTACCACTACTACTACTACTACTACTACTACTACTACTACTACTACTACTACTACTGCTACTCCTACTACTACTACTACTACTACTACTACTACTACTACTACTACTACTGCTACTACTACTACTACTACTCCTGCTACTATACTACTACTACTACTACTACTACTACTACTACTACTACTACTACTACTACGACTACTACTACTACTACTACTACTACTACTCTACTACTACTACTACTACTACTACTACTACTACTACTACTACTACTACTACTACTACTACTACTACTACTACTACTACTACTACTACTACTGCTACTACTACTACTACTACTACTACTACTACTACTACTACTACTACTACTACTACTACTACTACTACTACTACGACTACGACTACGACTACGACTACGACTACTACTACTACTCTACTACTACTACTACTACTACTACTACTACTACTACTACTACTACTACTACTACTACTACTACTACTACTACTACTACTACTACTACTACTACTCCTACTCCGACCTATTCCTATTAGAATATACTCCTACTCCCCCCTCAGGAAATACTCCTACTCCCCCCTCAGGCCGGCCATTAGGGGCCGCATCCGGGGGGTCCCATCCTAACCTGTAAAAAACAATACAAAATCAACATTTTTCTTTTTTTTCCTCTCGACATGGACGTCTTGTCGTCCACGGCGATAATCCATTGCAAAAAATACCACAAAGAGCACACGCGCGCGTTCATGTCAGAATCCTACCGAACACCTTGTGTTTGCAAGCATTTCAACATAAAAACATCAAAAACCCAATGCTTTTTCACAAAAATTGTACAAATTTCCCGCCCGGGCTCTCTTGCTGAAATCATAGGAAAACCATAGGAATCTTAAGAATTCTGTCAAATCCAGCGATTTCGCGTCATCGCGCGGTGCACTCGCGATGCTCTGTCATGCACCCAGGCCGCGAATCCTGTGCAAAAAATACCACAAAGAGCACACTCGCGCGTTCATGTCAGAATCCTACCGAACACCGTGTGTTTGCAAGCATTTCAACATAAAAACATCAAAAACCCAATGCTTTTTCACAAAAATGCTTTGGGGTGTCCTGTCAGACCGTCGGGCTTCCTCCGGCCACCTCTGGCTTCCTGCGGTGTACCGGGCCATTCTCGACTCGTCTGGCAATGCGTGCGCGGCATTCAACACGCGCTCGCCAGTTCCCGTCGGCAACCGCCATCGCGGCCGCATCAGCTGTACCAAACCGGCTGGCCGGTGTGACTTCGGCCCCCAGTTGTGCCAGCTTTGCTTCTTATGTTGTGGGAGGGCGGGTGGGACTGGGCATGCCATGCTTGACTCGCTCGAGCTGGCTAGCTTGACTCCTACTCCTACTCCTACTCCTACTACTACTACTACTACTACTACTACTACTACTACTACTACTACTACTACTACTACTACTACTACTACTACTACTACTACTACGACTACTACTACTACTACTACCACTACTACTACTACTACTACTACTACTACTACTACTACTACTACTACTACTACTACTACTACTACTACTACTACTACTACTACTACTACTACTACTACTACTACTACTACTACTACTACTACTACTACTACTACTACTACTACTACTACTACTACTACTACTACTACTACTACTACTACTACTACTACTACTACTACTACTACTACTACTACTACTACTACTACTACTACTACTACTACTACTACTACTACTACTACGACTACTACCACTACTACTACTACGGCTGCTCCTCCTCCTCCTTATCCTCCTCCTCCTTCTCCTTTCCCTAATCCCCCACATTCAATCCTCCTCTCTGTTCCGCCTGCTCCTCCCCTGCTTCCTCATGTTTGTTATACGTTTCCACCTGCCCCTCCACCTCCTCATCCCCCTATCATCTACAACGCCCCTTCCTCATCATACTCATCTTCCGGATCCATTGCCTGAGCCTCGGTACGTGCGCGTGTATGGCTGCATTCGTCACGATTGCAGCAGTTCTTCGTTACTTGATCTTTGGAGTCACGCGATGCTGACATTCAGCATACGTGTTTTGTGATCATACCCATCGTACTATTGATGAATATGCTTGTGGACGCGCATGCTTAAGAAATCAGTTTGCAGCATTGTGTGTTGCCGAATCTCCCTAACTGTGGTTGCATCATGGGCCTCCTGCCCCACTTCATGGCAATTGGATGGCGTCTCTGGTTTTTCGTCCAGCCGACGACGACGACAACGCAAGCGCCGACGACGACGACGACGCCGACGCCGACGCCGACAGCGACAACGCTAACGACTACGACGACGCCGCCGCCGACGCCAATGCGGACGCCGACGCTGATGCCGATGCCGACGCCGACGCCGACGCCGACGACTACGCCGACGCCGACGCCGACGTCGGCGCCGACGCCGACGCCGACGACGACGACGACGACGACGACGACCGCCCGCCGCCGCCTCGTCGCCTGCCGTTCCCAGACTTCCCTCGGGTGGCCGTCCGCTGCCATCTCGCCTCTCTCCGTGCGCTGGCTTCGCGTTTTTTCGGGCGTTCGCCCTGTCATCGTGCCCGTCGCCGCCTCGGCGCCGGCCCGTGTCGCCCCGTGCGTGGCTGGCGTTCCACAGACCCCTCCGCGCTGCGACAAGAGTCACGACGGGGAGCGTTCCGCTGTGCATGTTCGGCCGTTGGGGGCCCTTACCGGGCCCCGGGACCGTCAAAAAGTGGTTCAGGATGAGAAGCCGGTCTTGGGCCAAAAGGGGTCCAGACATTTGGGGGCCGACGTTGGGAAACGTCAGGACGTCAGGTGTCAGGGTTCAGCGTCGCCCCGTGCGTGGCTGGCGTTCTACATAGCGCGCGGCACACCGAGCTCAAAACATATGTTGCGCCAGGAACGTTCCTCCTTTTTGAGAAAGTTTCGATCGCACCCCAAAGCTGGAGCCAGACTGAACGGTACCCCTCATCATATACTCGTAGTTCCCGCGTTTCTCTTGCTCGCGATCGTCCATCCCATCTTACATGGGAAGTTTTACCACCCAACCAGGCCCGTATCGAATCACCCATTCGTCCAGGTCAAGTAATACAATTTGGTACACACGCGTTGATCTAACGAGCGCGCGTTGCAATATTCCCGTAGCAAGTAGCACCATGCAGGCCGTGCGCGCGCCTCCCTTGCACGCGCAAGACGGAAACTCCTGGTTGTCAGCGCGCGCATTTGCTAATGTCATAGGGCGGCTACGGGCGTTTTGCCACTTTTGGCAAAGAACACATCGCGGGGCACACGCGCGCTCTCCCGCCCGCGCACATGAAAATCATTGAATGACAGTCGCGCGCCTGTTAAAGTCACTGTGCGTGTAGGTTGGCCCTATTAGACAAATCAGATATTTTAGTGCTTGCCGCACGCGTGCGTCCCAGCAGGCGCAAGCTGACATCAGTTCAAACTAATACGTGCGTGATGCATGTCCTAATAGAGCCTTCGGAAGCACATCACAAAAACAGCGCGCGTCAACCAAAATCACACGCCCCCGACATCATCACCACGCGCCCGCCCGAGCCATGTAATTGCACATGGGACATCTGCGCGTCACTGCGCTGGTTTGGAAACTGTGAACAATCTGCGATGGGGAATCTCACTCGCGGCATCCTGAGTAGTGCCAACAAGTCGTGGGCGGATGGGTGCGATGCTTGCTCGAGCACGAGCGCTGTCGACCCGAAGCTTCCACACCAAGTGTGCCATATTTGTAGGGCGGATCCAGCTGCCTCTGGCAAGTCCCGCCACCGTGCCTTAGTTGTAGGTTATAATCCTAGTGGATGTTCGTTTGAATCTCGTGGGAGGCCTCTCGGGGGCCTCTTGGAGGCTGTTGTGAGGCCTCTAGGGGGCCTCTTGGGGGCCTCCTGGGGCCTCTTGGGGCCCCTTTGTGTCCGTTGTTGGCGCGTTTGGGGTCGTCCTGGGGCGCTCTCAGGCCGTCTTGGGGCCCCATTGGAGGCCACTTAGGCAGTTTGGGGGCCGTCTTGGCGGCCTCTTGGGCCGCCTTGGGGCGTCGGAAAGCCGAAAAGGCGAGAACGCCGAAATCCTTCAAACTTACAAGAAGCAACATGATTCGTGCCTTTGAGAGTCCTCTGGGGTGACCTCTTGGAAGCCTCTCGGGGCGCTTGGAAACAGTTTGCGCCATCTTGAGGCCGTACTGGGCGTTTTCGAGGGGTCGTTCGGCGTTCCTGGGCCTTTTGGACCGTCTTGGACGCCTCCTGGGCCGTCATGGAAGCCTTGGGGATCCCCAGGGAGGGGCCATGGCCGCCCAGGGACCCTCTGGGAGTAAGGCCGATGCGCGCGGCGAGGTGCGGGCCGGAGAGGGGGGAGGCCCTTAGAAGATTGCAAGAGCCCTGCCAAACAGCACTTGAGCGTTGGAAGAAAACGGCTTCCACTGCGCCGACATTGGCGCGTAAGGTGCTCGCGTAACGTCGCGCGTGGGAGCCCTCGTCTCCAGTGTGGCGTGCCGCGCGGGCGGCCCGCGTAAACCAGGGCCACCGCGTAAGCTCGCCGTGCCCTCTCGCGTAAGACCCGTGTTCGATCGAGGCCCACTTGGCATTCTAGTACACTTCAGCGTGCCAGGGGACGCGGATGTGGATATACTATACATAGATGTGTATATATATATATATATATATAGAACAATGCACACACGCACACGTATCCACATATATGCTTGAAAACACATGTACACTTACGCATACTATGTATAGTACATCCAGCTACACGCATACTTATATACATAAGTTTACATACAAACATGCATGCATGCATGCATACATGCATATTCGTATTACCGTAAAGGTCGCACATCGTCAGTGCAAGGAGCCGTTGTTTGGGGCCCACGTTGGAAAGCATTGCCGCGCAAGGGACCCGAATCCGCTTGTTCTGGCGCCGGAACCCCGCCTCAGGTGCCCGTGCACAGACGTCCGCCTGCAGGCCGCTACGCCTGCGCAGCAGCTGCAACAACAGCACTCGCCACTGCAGCCGCAGCAGCAGCCGCAGTTGTGGGACCAACGCGGCCAGCCGCAGCAGCAGCAGAAACTGCAGCAGCAGCCGCAGCAGCAGCAGCCGCAGCCGCAGCCGCAGCCGCAGCAGCAACGTGGCCGCCCCCCGCTGCCACAAACGCAGCCGCCGCCAACACAGCAGCCGCAGCAGCAGCAGCAGCACCATCACCATCACCAGCAGCACCGCGAACACAGCAGCCCACATCACCACCAGCAACAACCCCAACCGCAGCAGCCGCAGCAGCACCACCACCACCACCAGCCCCAACCGCAGCAGCAGCAGCAGCAGCAGCAGCAGCAGCAGCAGCAGCAGCTGCTGCAATTTCCGCGGTGGAAGCGGTGTTGGCACGAGGATGTGCGCGCATCGCCCCTCCCTCCGTGCATCTCTCCCCTTTCAACCGTGCACATCCCCTCTTCCTTCCCGTCCCCAGCCTCAGTCGCCCCAGTCCTTCGCTCGCCCCCGTGGCATCTGTCATCGGAGGCGCCGACGGCGAACCGCCGCCGCCCGTTGCCTTTTTGGGAGGAACCATGCCACCAAACGGTGGACGACGCCACCCCCCCCCCGCCATTGTGGAACCCCTCGGCGGAGCAATCGGGAGAGGATGAAAAAAGGAGGGGGTGGTGAAGAAGAAGGAGGGGAAGGAGGAGGACGAGGAAGAAAACCAGCGTAAACCCAAGACGCATCAACGATGTTGAATTAAGCCGCCCCCAAAGCTTCTTCCTCGTAGGTCCCTACCAGAACTTGTTCCGACCGCGGGAAGACACGTTTCATTGAAATACCGCCATCAAAGTATTCAGTTGTGCCAGAACGCCAGTCCTTGGACCCCAACGCCGCGGATCAACGCCACTGTTGCGTCCTATTGTCCTACACCGTGCTAAAACACTTTTCCTGGGACTTCACCGATGCGAGTACACGTAAATGCTGTGCCGTGGCAATCTTACGCCGTTCTAGAACACCGCTCCTGGCAGTTTCATGTTTACGGGCCCAAGGAATTGCCACAAACTTGCATGGCCAATGCGCGCGGTTTTGCGGCGAGGGTGACATGTTGGAAAGGAACCGTTGTTCAGCTTCGGAATTGCTTCGGCATTGCAGCAAGCGGTTTAAACGAACGCGCGCAACGTAACAGCGACAACCACATGTTGTAAACGACCCGCCCTGCATCCTTGAAGCTGATGCAAACTCGCAGGACGAATGCGCGCGGCGCGAAGGCGATATTCACATGTTGAACACGGCCGCCATCTTTGAATTTGTTGCACAGTTGCTTGGCGAACGCGCGCGGCGCTAGGGCTAGGGCGACAACCGCTTTTTGAAAACGATCCGCTTTCAATTCTTGCAGTAGCTGGAAATCCCAACCTCCAGGATCGTACATGGAGGCGCGGTGTCTGGCAAAACGCCTGTCCCGCCCTACCAATACATCTGGGAGTGGGACAGGGATGGGTTCATCATAAAGGGTGGGGCCTCTCGAGGTTCTCGTAAGGGGTTTCTGCGGGTTTCTTGGGGGCTTCTCTGGGGCCTCTAGGGAGCCTCGTGGGGGGATCCTAAGGCCTTTTGGGAGCCTGGGGCTTCCTGGTGGTTTCTTGGGGGCCGCTGGGGGCCTTTATGGGGGCTCCTTGGTTCACGGACGCCGTCACGGGGCCCTCTGTGGGCAGTCGTGGGTGCCCTTTTGGGGCGTTTCAGGGCGGTCTTGGAAGCCAACGGGGCCGTTTGCGGGTTTTCTTGGGCCGTTTTGCGGGCCTCTTTGGGCGACTTTGGAGGCCTTTTGGGGCCGTCGCTCACGTCGGGAGCCCGAAGAGGCGAGAACGCCAGAACCATGTTCAAACCTCAAGTGGGATGCCTTTGGCATCGAGGCCGTCCTCTTGGGGTCCTCTTTGGGCGCCGTGTAGGCGCAAGGGGCCATCGTGGGCCGTCCTGGTCGTATATTGTGCCGTTTTGGAGACATTTTGAAGCCCTCTTGGGCCCTTGTCGGGGTCGTCGAAGCCGTCTTGGGGACCGGTTCGGCCGTATTCGAAGCCATACTAAGGGCCGCCAGGGGCGGGAAGACCGACGACCTGAGCAGTTTACGGATCTTCATTCCGTGTTGGCGCGTCGGCCGAGACCAAATTGACAAATCTTGAAAGTTACCAGCAACCGTTCCGAAATTTGGCACGCCGCGCGCCCTTGGCGAACCAGACGGGGGGCGGCGGATCGAAGACGCCGATGACGAATCACCGCCGGCCGCTTCCTTTTGGGAACCGCCCCTATGGCCAAAGGTGCGGCCAGAGCTTGACCAACCGATCGGATCGTGCATTCCCCCTGCCGCTTTGGAAACCCCTCGGGGAACACTTGTGGGAGTATGAGGGTTGTATCAGGAAAAGGGGGGGAGGAGGAGGACGAGGAGGAGGAAAAGGAGGAGGAGGCCTTCCTGTTTCGGTACATGGCCCAATGTTGTTGTGCAACTGTTTGGAAGAGTGATAGCCGCCGCCAGGCGGTATGACACACCTGTGTGCCTTACCGTTGACCGCTTATTGCGGGACAAATCACCACCTTCACTACTGTGTTTTGGCAAGAGTGGCAGCGAAGCGGAAATACGTTATGGCGGCGGGAGCGGGCACACCGATACGTACCTCGCGGAAAAAGATGGTTAGAACAGAACCTTGCCAACTTCGGACCCAACCGTCTCACCGCGTACAAGCAGGGTGTATACGCGTTCGTCAACGATGGCCTGCAGGCAAACCTTGCTGAACATCAGGAATCGCGAACGCAATTTTGACGCAGACAGACACCACGCAACTCAAGGTTCAAGCCGCTCAGGTAGCTGAAAAGGCCGGGTCCAACATAAGCTAAACCTACCACCGGCCCAGCAGCGAACCGAAGGCAATCCGACAATTGAAAAGTTGCAACGGAGATAGTGCGACATTTGGAGGATGGGCCGGCCGATTATTCAACGTTCTGGCACAAGTCAAACATGCGAGCCGAAAGGCTCTGTGGTTGCTATACATAGTTCAGCCTCTCCTCTTCCTGCGCCTCTGTCTCACCTCCCCTGCGCGCCGCCATCGCGGCTCGCGAGGGCCCTTTGAGCTACTTGGCGCGCTGGCCGCGGGCGCGCGCGAGCCCCCGCAAAAGGAACGAGAACGTGCTCTCTCTTAGCACGGTCCCCCTTCGTTGCAGTATGCGTCTTCTTGTATACCATGCAACAACTCCCGCGCGTTCCGCAGGCCCTCATATTTCTGAATTCAAAATTGGAAACAATGGGCGGGGCCACGCCAAATCCGGACAGGGATGGTGCTGAAAGAAGAATGCTGAACGGCAGAACGACAGCAACAGACTACAACGATACATCGACAGACAGGAAACGCGAAACATAGGATTTCGATGATGAGTGCGTTTTGAACGGGTGAAATGGATTAGTCGGGCGATGACCCATGACGCATCCGAAGCTTTAAACTGGATAGCACTGAGGCAAGGGGCACTGTGCAGCAACAGGGGGCTGACGCTACCAGCTATGGTGAGCCCAGCCATGAACCGCGACAGACTTAGGCAGATCAGTGACACATAGGTCCAGCTCGAGCACGGGCGCGCACTGCTGCAGAAGTTGTAGAATATGGAGAAGCACCTGAGCTGCCGATGCGTTCAAGATATGGGCCCTGGAGATCAGAATGACACGATCCGCGTGGCGGCCCGATGACTGGCGGCAAGACTGGTTTCAGTCACCCAGATTCCGAAACGGCGAATCACACCAGAAGCGGCGTTTGCAACGCCAGGATTGGGCTCGGGAATCCCGAATGGGCGTCGACGCGAAGAACCGCGACACGATGGGCGCTGGGAAGGGGGGGGGGGGGGGCGGTGGGGCGAGGCCACGAGGGGGGGCGCGTCAATCCAAGGGCCGACCAGGGAAGTTACCGCGGAAGATGAGATGAAGACAGCAGTTGATGGCCCTGGACGACGAAGGCGATCAAGGTTGAAATGGCGGCCATGGTTGGGGCGAAGGAGGCGCGGGCGCAGTTGGCGCGTGCAACGGCCGCGTGCTACGAGTGCGGCAACTTGGGCAACGTGACAAACGCGCCCACGATTGAGCGCGAGCGCTGCAGTGGCGGGCATCATCGCAGCCACCTACACCAAGTGAAGAAAAGGCTTGACAGTGCTCCCGCAATGAGCGGCGAACAGACAGCCTCGAGCAACCCGGGGTGGAAATTGACGCAGGATGCGACGCCATCGCCCGGGCGCGCCCTGGCCCGCGCGACGCGCGATGGGGTGCGCCAGCCAGAAACAATTATCACCTGGTACGTGACATGAAGCAACGACTCTGTTCTCAAGAGGTGATCTGCTAAAAGTGGCCATTGCGAGGCCCGCGGGTGCACGGGCAACGAATGCGCGGGCGACCTCGGGAGATTGGAGGTAACGCATCAGACGGAAGAACTGAATGCAGTGCCCAAGGGCAGTCCAGAATCTGACGTAGAGACTGCAGTGGCCACCGTCAATTCAGGGGCTCATAACGCAACCAGGCCACTGGGCGTCGACGCGCACATCTCATTGATGCGGGCGGAGGCCTCGAAACACGTTTGCCATTGCAGCGCAGCCAACGGAGCCGCTATAGAGAACTGCGGGCAGCGGGCAACGCTCGGGCAGAACGCGGCGGGCGACAAGGCGACGCTGCCAGTAGGTCGGCGCGCGACAAATAGGAAGCCGTCGACAGCGTTGTCTCTGGTCGGGGCGCGCGCGGCAAATCGCGCAGCCACGCGCGGCGCGGGGCCTCGGGCAGGGGAATGGCGACGCGCGCGCGTGGCGGGGCGGGGCATTTCAATGCGCCGTTCGAGGCCCCGATGGAAGAACTCGCTGGCGCCGCGCGTGGATCGGGGAACTGACGAGGAGGGCCCTCCTTGGCACGGACTCTTCCAGGAGAGCCCCCCCCCGCCCCATGGGCCCCGAAAGCTGGAGTGAACCAATGGAAAACATCGGCGGCGAACGCGGCGGGGGCGAGGGTCGACGCGAGGGCGGGAATTAAGGCCAAAGCGCGAAGATACACTGTCAAGAGAAGGGGCCGAACGAGTGGATAGCGCAGCCTGCCAACTACTTGGCCCTGGCAAAGTGGCAGTGGAAAGCCGAAATGTCAGCCGTTCGCCGCGCCGCAATTGGACCTCCTCTGAAAAGCGCGCGCAAAATGTGTGACGGGACTAGCCCGGTTGAAAAGCGAGTCGCCCCATCTGACTACGCGCGGCTCAAAAACAAGGGGGCATTTGTGAGCAGAACCATCGCGCGAGGAGGTGAAGAAGCAGAGCCGGGCAATCCACTCACTGATGGCGACGCGCTACAGGGGGTCCAATTTGGCGCGGGGCCGCGTTATAACCGCGCGCGGAGTCAACAGCGATTCAGCT